GTGTGTGTGTGTGCGTATATATATATATATATATATATGCTGTATATATATGCTGTATATATTTATATATACATTTTTTTATTTTATATTATATATTTTATCTACAAAAACATTTCATTATATATATATATATATATATATATATATATGCACACACACACACACAAACACTAAAAGATATATATAATGTATTATATGATATATTATGATTATTATATTAATATAAAATATATATTATGACAGTGCTATTTTTCTCTTTCTTTAGTAAATGAGAATATGCTGAAACAGGCTGAGCCTTTCAAAGAAAGAGAGGAGCTCGACAGAATCCTTGAAGAGAACAAATTGCTGAATGAAGAAGAAAAGATTCGGTAGGTTCCTGTCTGTCAAAGTTGTTCAACTTAATCATACCTACATACAAAAAATAATATTTTGTTTCCTACATTTCCAGTTTAAGGGAGGCCACTCAAGAATATAAGGCTGATTTATTGACTCAGATGCTGCACCGCCAGCGCATTCATGAAACAGAACAAGCTGAGAAAGAACACGAGTTCCAGAGGGGTCTATGGTACCAGGAGCAGTACAATAAGAAGATCCAGGACATCCTCTCAAGGCCAATATCTGGCACCACAGCAGTTCATCCCTTCAGGAGACGAGAGCGCCCCTGCTCCAACTTTGGTGCACAGTTGGCATAAATCCAACACATTCTATTCTCAACATTATTCATAGCATGAGTATAAAATATCCTAAAAATGATATAAAAAAAAAAAAAAACTTTCAGTGAACTTCCATGCTTAAATACCTTACATGCTCATTTCTGAATAACTAGATATTGTATATTTTACACATTCGTGTGATCTGTGATCAGATTCATTATCCCTGTGCTAAAGTTTGTATTCAGACTTAAATACAAGTCTGACTGGATTAACTTGTTTTTGAGGTAGATATTTGCATGTTTAAAAGTTAATTATTTAAAGAAAGCTAATCATTTCAATGAATAGACTGTGAATAGTGTCCTCTTTTTGCAAGTCAGTCAGACATCCTTATACAATGCTTCTAACACCAAGCATCTAATTAAAAACAATGGGAAACTGTCCAGGATTGCTATGAAACATAGTATCAAAAGAGGTCAAAAGGTTAAGGTTAAAAAATGACACAGTTAACATGCAGATTATTTCCATAATGATTTAGCAACAAGGTTTTAGACCAATAAGCTGCTGGGTTAAATGATTAGTGGGTGAATGAGTGGGTGGAAAACTTTTGACTCTGCAAATACCACGACAGCTCGTATATGGTGAAGAAGTTAGTCAACACCCAATACCTTACCTAGGAGTGGTATGGGTGTGGAGCAATTGGTCTGATGTCATTTTTGTCATTTTTCTTTCTCACCTGGCTGTTCAGACAAGTTTAACTTTTACCCAAGCCAGTTTGAGACTACAAAATTCGGCAAAGTAACGCTATACAATCTTTTTAAGCATGACATGAGGAATATACAACAGCTCTGATGATCATTGTGTCTGTGGATATTTGTACAATTTCTAAAAGAAGATGCGTGAACATGAACTTTATGTCAAGGTAGGTCAGGCATTGCTACTCTTTCATTTTAGATTTCCACATCACATTAATTACAGTATGTGGTCCACTGAGAGTTACAGGTTACAGCTTTATGAATAAATACATTAAGCTAAACACGTTCATGCATCTGTTAATGTGTTTTTTTCTGTCTTTATTCAGGATGTGAACAGTACTTAGGCTTTTCTCCTTCTGAATTTATGTTTCATCCTATGGTTTACTCGTGGCTTGTGTCCACTCTGCATTTTGCAGATAAGAGTAGAGAGGCTGCTGTGTTGCTCAGCTTTGTGTCTTTGATTAATGATGCAGACACTGAGCATACACAGTCCACATTATCTGATTATTCAAGGCAGCTTCTGCTCTCAAATATTTCTGAGAAACACAAGAAAGTACATGTATATATAGAGTCTTGTGTTCAAATTCACATTGTATGAAATGGGCCCAATTAGTTATGTAATCTTGGTGCAATGATGTGTTTCTTTGAATATATATTTTGTCTGGATCTATTAAGCCATTATCTGATTATTCAAGGCAGCTTCTGCTCTCAAATATTTCTGAGAAACACAAGAAAGTACATGTATATATAGAGTCTTGTGTTCAAATTCACATTGTATGAAATGGGCCCAATTAGTTATGTAATATTGGTGCAATGATGTGTTTCTTTGCATTTAATAGCTTATACTGTGTAATATGTAGACTATTTTAACACTATGTATTTCCAGGTCTAGATGGAGACAAAAAAGTAATTTAAAGTTATAATAATTTAATGGGGTAAACATTCATGTAATCTAAAATGCTAAAATATATATTTTGTCTGGATCTATTAAGCCATTCAAAAATTATAAATAAAAAGGTAAATAAGACTGCAGTTAATTAAAAAATTGACTTGAATACTCATTTTCTAGAAGAAACATTTATTCAATTTTTGATTTAAAAGTAAATGTAGAATTTTTACTTTTGACATTATTGTTTGGTCTAAAGGCAAATATGTATGGAATAACTGTCCAGAGAAAAGAAACAGTCTCTAAAAAAATTACATTATTGGAAAAAGTTGATATTGTTATTTCTTAAAAACAAAATAACCAGCTATTTTACATTTAAATTTGCATTTAGTCAATTAGCAGATGCTTTTATCCAAAGTGACTTACAAATGAAAACCAACACTAACAATTTATCATAAGACCCAAACGCGGCTATTAGTATTCACAGTATATAATGGCAAGTTTTCAGTAAGCTAGTGGTACACAAGCTAGAGCAGAAGTGCAATACAGAAGAATAAAGAAAAACTTGGAAAAAAAATATTGGATTTATTAAAGGAAGTGCCTTTGTTTATGATTTTGGTTTATTTTAAAATATTGTCATATGACAAGTAAACTAGAGAGGATCCTTTTAGGCCCTCATCTTTTTTTTTCATTAAGTTTTTAGATTTTTAAAAGTGTTCTCATTTTTTTTACTTTTGGACATCATTATTTGTCATTCACACATACGTGTATATTTACATCTCGTTTACAGCTATGAGACAAATGCTTGTAGCTTTGCATCTCTCCTCATTTGGTGTTCAGAACTAATTTAAATGTAAACGACACTTTTACAAAGGCAAACACTTTAAAAATGCACTAGTAATATTTTCTTATTGCTGTCTAAGTAGAAAAATCTTCACTTCTTTAGAAGTCTTTAAATCTTCACTTAGAATTAACCACAACATTCTCATTTCCGTCACAATGTGATTTTTAGTGCAGTGCTGTAATTGGCCAGAGGGTGTCGCTGTAGACACTGAATTGTGCCAGTGATCCATGAGCCTCTGCCACTGCGGTCATGTCAGACAGCATGATAGTAGAGTCCATGGAGAAGGGAAGCAACTTCACTCCTTTTTGACAATTACATACTTTTTCCTCATATGTAGCAGTACCTTTTAGTCATTATTATGACTCAGTGATTAGTCGTGGTCATCGCTTATTTGAACTTGATTTTTAATATATGGAGGAGGAGATGAAAGGGGCTTGTCCAACTCGACTTCAATTATGGGGACAGACACCTGCCGTGATCAGGCGCGGCTAACGCGCTAACATTAGCAGTCAGAGGGAGTTCAAAAGTACAAACCAGCTCGACAGGACGACATGGAGTGGTGACAAGACACAGGAAACCTGGATTATAAAACTTGTTGGGAATATCATCGTATTCAAACGGAGATATATTAACCTTACGTGTGCTGATGTAACTAGTTTAGGTGGGAGCTGCTCTATTTGGGATCATGTCTGTGACTGAACTGTACTCTAGGGTGAGTTGTTGGAATTAGTTTTATTTCACCATGAAATAGCTAAATAAATAGTTAATAATATGAGACAGGTGAACGGTAATATAAGAATTTATTTACTGTGTGAGGTAAACGACGCGAAACGCCTTCACCAATCTTAAATCCTCGTTTAATGTAGCATGACTAGCTTGAAATATTTTAATTTATCTCAAAGCATCATAAAAGCTCACAAAAGGTAATATTCAACTATTTGACGCCCTGCATTTCTGCTTAACTGCCTTTAACTTCCTATAAACACAGGGAAGTGTCGCGGACAGGTGTGTGTTTCTGTTGGTTTCGGTCTGTAACGTTAGGTAGTTTCGGTGTTCGCTGTGTTTCGAAAACCAATTGAGCTCCCTATCTAGACAGCATCTTTGAGCGCGTTCAAATGCGTCTTTGTTGTCAAATAATGCTGTCTATATAGTGGTTTCCGCTGTAAACAAAGCAGCGCTGCACTTATGAACTTTAATATGCGTTATACAGAGGCAAGAGGAAAAGAAAAAATACCATCGAAAGACAGTAAGTTCCCCTCAGACATACATTCATATAAACTCCTACCCCTAACTGAATCGCGATTTGTTTGGCATCTCAACCGATTTGAATCGTCACATATTTTAATCGATTTTCAACCGGCTCGCGGTTAATCGTTACATCCCTAGTCCTAAATCTTTTCGTTTTTTTGTGCTGGTTGGGATCGTTAATATTACCATTGTACATTTATTCTCAGGGTTTCCATAGTTAGGAAGTTTTATTATGAATAATGAAAAATGTAATTAGTAAATCTACTTATTTAACTGTAAAATATTTTATCATATAGTAATTGGTACAAAACGACTGGAAAAAGTAATATAAACTTAGCAGTTATGCCTTGTAATTCCACAAATATGAACTGATATTTGTTTATTTGTATTCTATTTTGACCTCTCATGGACATATATTTTACATTGGGAAAGCTAGATTTAAATATGGTTTTACAGACTAGGAAATACCTTGGTATAGCCTCATATTTATGGTCACATACTAATGCTGCAGGTGACTCAGTCTTTCCAAGTTGTTTGGGCTTGTATGCAAAATGAATATTTTTTTCTCCAGTCTACAGCCGTGGATAGACTGTTCAGTTCAGTCTGGTTCTCACAGAGTCACCATAAGGGTGGATTCATATTACACCAGTTCAGTCCCTTATTTTGGCCTTTGTGTTCTGGTATTGTTCAGATATTTTGCCCTAAAAGTGTTCCACAGCTTTCAGGTCGTATATTATTAGCTTGTGTGCTGTTATCTCAATGATCATAAAATGGCCAAACCAGTGATGTCATCATAACCACCCTGCCCATGTGTGTCATCGATTACACTGAGAACAAATACTATTGAATGGACAGCCAGGCATTTTTCCCGTGTAGGCCACTGGTTCAAGGGGGATAGATAGTCAGGCATTATCCTTGTTTAACTGGATTGGACTCTGTGGCAACCCCCTCTTTCTCATCTCCTAATTAATCTTAATAATCTGCTTTTTTTTTTTTGATAATCTGTATGGAAGACCAAGGAACAAATTTACCATGTGTTTTTTTCTCAGACGAACTTGCTTTTACTAAATAAGATGTTTATCTAATATTATCATTCATCTAAGAACACATAGGCCTAGGTATGGGCCGGTATGAGATTTTGACGGTATGATAACCTTAAGCAAAAATATCACGGTTTCACGGTATTGTCGTTACAGCTCTAAAATGTGATATTTTTTAATGACTGGGTAAAAAAAAAATTTTTTTACATTTTTTTCTGCTGAACAGAATATATTTTGTTTTTGAGCAACATACAGAATATTAGGAACAGTAGAATTTGCTTATTTTTTCTTTGATTTGTTTCCTAAAAAGAAGAAAAATAAAGACAACGGAAAATATTAGCGGTTTTGAAACCGTGACATTTTCAAATCGCGGTATACCTTGAAACCGGTAATCGGCCCGTGCCTACATAGGCCTGGTTTCACAGACAGGGCTTAGACTAAACCAGGATTAAGCCATAGTTCAATTAGGACACTTGAGTAATTTTTATAACCGTGCCTTAAAAAAACATTACTGGTGTGCATCTCGAGACAAAACAACGGCACTGACATATTTTAAGATCAATCAGTGTGAGTTTCTTTCAGTTGAAACGGCTCAAATTTACATTTTAGTCTGGGACTAGGCTTAAGCCTTGTCTGTGAAACCAGGGGATAATGTTTAGGGGGGTCTCATTTAAAGAACTCATGAAAAGAAGTAGATGTGCACCTAAACGTAACTTAAAGCACATTTTGAATGACAAATCATTTTATAAATTGTTTTAAATTGCATCGTATTGTTTAATGCTGAGTGTGTAATTTACTATGTAGTCTGTTGTTGGAGCTTTGTGTCTTTCGCTGGTTATTGCTCTCAGAAAGAGGATTAGTTTGGGGCACACAATGCACCCCTGCCTAAGTTTCGACCCCCCTCCTTAGTGGGAGGTTTTGTTGAATTGACCCCAACACAACCTAGATTTGTTGGGGTGGACAAAAAGAGTCATTAGCCCCAAGTAGACTCACTTGTGAGCCGTCTTTTCTTCTGTTGTGCTGTTTCAACAAAAACGCCCCTTTTCTATTTTTGTTCTCTGTGCTTTTTGTTGTATTCTATGGTCTTCTGTTCCTGTTACTGCATCTCCTTGATTAAACCGTATGTTACGTCACTGTTGAGGTCTCTCAGTGCCTCTGGGCAGGTAAACAAGTCGTGTGCAGGTCCAGGGGGAGTGGAGCATGGGCTGGATGTGCGATCACACTCCATTCACTCATGGCTCGGTTAAAGCCACTGCTAAAGTAACTGATGCAGAAACAAGAGTCTCTATGAGGGCTGGAGAGAGAAATCTGAGAGAAGCACTAAAGGGCTTTTATTGTAATGTTCATGCACCTTTTTGTGTTAAAAAAAAAAAAGTACCTTCATGTACCTTATCTCTAAATGCATTTACCTTCATGCGTTTGGCAGGTGCTTTTGTCCAAGGTGACTTACATTGCATTCAAGGTGCACACATTATCAGATCTTGCTTTCCCTGAGATTCGAGCTCATGGCCTGGTGTTGCTAGTGGTGTGCTCTACTGTTTGAGCTGCAGCGATGAGCGATGCAATGCAGTATAGCCTCCCAATTAGTTTTTATTATGTCCGTATACAGAATTGGGAAAAGGGGTGCAATGAAACATTTATTTAGTGCACCTGCTCTCCTCCTGTTACTTTTCATTGTCTCCCAGGGCAGCTCACCTGTTAACCCCTGCTACAAAGCCTCACTCCTGATCCATCACAATCAGACACTAGTGTCAGATTTCACAGTGATTCAGACAATCGGCCAGTTATTCCTGGACAGTGGACAAAGAGGTTGAAAAGAAAAAAGTATAACGCGTTCTCCAGGAAACACCTGACCTTTCCCTGTAGGGCTTTTGTGAGTGTGCTGCCAGACAGTGATCAGGGTGTGGCTAGAGAGACACAGAGCTTTGTACTAACCCTTTACCCTGTAGCCTAAAGGGAAAGTCTGGAGAATCCAGGGAAACCTGAGACTTCCTGACATCCATCATTCCCAAGCAGAAATATACTAGGGATGTAAGAAAAGTTTGTTTATTTCTAGTAAGTACTGTTATTCATAAATGTGAATAAATGTTTTTAGCTTTTCATTCAAGCAGTCTTTGAAGTCAACATGAATTCACAGATGTCAATATTTAATGCTGTTCTTTTTGCAAAAAAAATAATAAAATGTATCGGTGCATTATATTCCAAAGAAAAAAATTTGTCTTCAGAATTTTTCTTCAAAATGTAATTTCTAATTTTGAATTACATTAGCATTCAAACATTCAACTGTAAGAATTGAGGTTGAAAATTCTCTTATGGTACCCAAGACTGCAGTTACAGTATTTTATCAAAAATACAGTAAAAGCTGTAATATCGTGAAATATTACAATTGAATTTTTCCTACTTTAATATCTTTTCAAGTGTAATTTATTTATTGAATTTTCAGCAGACATTACTCCAGTCTTCAGTGTCACATAATCCTATAGAAATCATTATAAAATGCTGATTTGATGCTCAAGAAACATTTCTTATTGTTATGAGAGTGTTGAAAATAGTTATGCTGCTCTATTTATTTGTTTATTTATTTATTTTTGTGGAAACCGTGATGCATTTGTTTTTCAGGATTCTTTGATGAATAGAAAGTTCAAAAGAACAGCATTTATTTGAAATGAAAATCTTTTGTAACATTACACGTTTTTGTACTGTCTCTTTTTTTTGGAAAATGTCCTTGTATCTTTGCTGAAAAAAAATTTATACAGACCCTAAATGTTTGAATGGTAATGTAAGTAATATAATACTGTAAATATCCTGTTTTACTCTGAAATACACCACATTATGAAGTAGGTTGCGAATGATGTTTCATGTTGACTTTAAAGGTGAAATATGCTGTTTTTATGAATTTTGCGCAATAAGTTGTTTCCAGACGGGTTTTCCAAGCACTACTGATCTTTCTGCCCTCCCCTATCTGCCATTGTTTAGTCAAACAGGTAGCTCTGGTTAACAAAAGTGCATTGAATATTTGAGGACAAATACATTCCTTAACCACAATTTTTAGACCCAGTTTTACAGTGCATACAGTGTGCTACGATTATTCTGATCTCTCTTTTTAACCAAAATCAAATCATTACAGCTGCTGCAAACACTCGCAGCTCAGTTAAACAGCTGACGTGGATCCAGGCCTTTTCGTTACGCAGCTACAAGAAACCATGCAAAACCAGTCACACAGGTCTCTCCTCAGTTCCTCATCAGCTCCCTCCCACCACAACAGCTTTTCCACTCTTTATCTGTGGCCTTTATTACGGTGTCCTTCAAGCCCAACAGATCAGCACACTGAGAGCTCGGACTCTGAGATAATGAAACAAAAGTATCACACTTTTTCACAAACTGCTTGTATTATTTGTGTCAATATAGCACTCACATATATCAA